TAAAATGTGATTGGTTGCTGTTTTCCTCAATCGTCCATAAGAGGGAGCCAGAAGGACTGTTATCTCTCTCTCTCTCTCTGTTTCGTTAGATGCTGTGCTGATCTGTTCTAAGTGCCGTGAGCTATTGTAAGTTTTGCAACTGCTAGCAAACTTTGAGTACTGGACTGATTATATGATAATGGACTATGTTATTTGGATTATCCCTTAACTGAAAGACATTGATGACTGACTGTCTTATCCGTGTATGACTTAGACTGTTTGATGGACTCTGATACCTCTATTCCACGAAAGTAAAAGCCTATTTAAACTGCAGTGCTCTATACGCTGGTTTGTGTGTTATCCAACACAACTCTAACAACGCTTCTCTGAATGTACTCGCTCTCCCAACGGGGAGCTTACCTAACAAAAACAGAGCCTCAAAATATTTGTATACATTTTGCAAAATAAAAATTCCATAAGAGGTTACACATAGGTAACTAAGTATCACTACTGTACAGGATATTAATAATATCATCTGTTGGTGTATGTAATTTTCACGGAAGTGGTAAATTAGTAAAAGGAATCTTTGAATGAAACAGGATAATATAGTATTTGAAGAAATAAGACAACCTGCTGATGGATTTCCTGGCTGGTTTCTTGTAAAAATAACATTATTGAAAAGGCACTCACTTAACCACATATTCTATAAAGAATGGAATTGGCATGATTGGAATGACTCCTAGAGAGCATCTGAACTGTTTTCACAGGTGCTGCTTTTAATCAGAGTTTTGCCACATTTACTATCATAAGCCATTCTTGAACATATTGCAGATTGACTCTCAAGCCTCCCCCATGAATAATGATGCATTCACCCATTTACTTTGGTGGCAAGAAATACCTTGCACAGTCATATAACATACTTCTTTAGAAATACAATAAGCTCTGCTTACAAAGATCTGCGATCTTAAAGTTCTACAAAGTAGATTGTACTGTACAAAGTAGATTGTACAGTATATATACAAACACACACATACTGTAAATATATATAGTGCTTAAATATGTAAGTAGGAGAACCATTTGGCTAAAAAAATATACCTGAAGAAACCCAGGTTATGTTTAATAAATTCAACAAAGAAAGGGGGAAAATTAAATCTGGAGAATGAGACATAGTAGACCACTACCTTGTCCAATGGATCTCAATGGAAGATGATAACGTAAAGGAATGCCATATTATATGTGGTTGACAGCCATTCAGCAAGCTAAGCATAATTTTCAAGAACGACCTCCCCCTATGCCTGAAGACAAAAGTTTTCAATCAGTGTGTGCTACCTGCTTTAGCATATGCCAGTGAAACATGGACACTAACCTCACGATTGACACAAAAGCTACAAGTGGCTCAAAGAGCCATGGAAAATACATGCTCGGCATTTCAAGACAAGAAAGAAAGACCTGCACATTAGAGAACAAATGAAAGTACTGTATATGATATCATCAAGAAAGTAAAAGAATTGAAATGGAAATGGGCTGGTCATATAGCAAGAAGAACTGATAGCAGGTGGATCAAGGCAGACATAAAATGGATCCCACTTGAAAAAAAGCATCCATGAAAGAGACCTAAAACAAGATGGATCAACGACATCAGCATATATTGTGGGCCAGACACACAGAAAATGTTTTCATCCTGCAGAGGATAGACAATAGCTAAAATGATGATGATGATGATGATGATGATGATGATGATGATGATGATGATGATGATGATGATGATGATACACGCAGGCCTACCTACATAGACTATGTATGGAATATATATACTTACTATAATTAATAGTACCACAGAATTATAGCACCCCAACAGAATTCAACATATGAGGAATGGTGATTAGCCTTTATGCATTTGTTTCTCCTTTTACAGGATTGTAGGATGAATCTTATCCAGATTATTTCATGTTCAGTACTTACAGTAATGATAAAGAACAAGGAAGAACAATTACGTTAATCCATATATATCCAAGGGGCAACATCTTGATCTTTTGGAATAGCAATAGCAATAGCAGTTAGACTTATATACCGTTTCATAAGGCTTTCAGCCCTCTCTAAGCGGTTTACAGAGTCAGCATATCGCCCCCACA